CTACAAGGTCGCTGTGAGTGGGACTGTGGTCTCTACCCTGTCCTGTAAGGTCGCTGTGAATGGGAACGTAGGCTCTACCCTGTCCTGTAAGGTTGCTATGAATGGGAACGTGGGGTCTACCCTGTCCTGTAAGGTCACTGTGAGTGGGATTGTGAGTTCTACCCTGTCCTACAAGGTTGCTGTGAGTGGGAATGTGGTCTCTACCCTGTCCTGTAAGGTCGCTGTGAATGGGAACGTGGGCTCTACCCTGTCCTGTAAGGTCGCTATGGATGGGAAACCCCTCGGGGGCAGTGAGTTTGAGTGACTGTATAGGGTTGTTGGCATCTACTCGACGACAGTGAGTTTTCTTTGCTTTTTTTTTTGGTTTTGGTTTTGTGTGCACATAAAAGTTATGTTCATATCATATTATAGTCTATTAAGTGTGCAATGGCTCTACGAAAAAGTTTGAAATATTAAGAAAATGGTCGAATTGTATCACATAGACACCACTTGATCATATGCTGTTGGAAAAATCGGCGTTTGTGGAGTTGATCCAGGCAGGGCTGCCGCAAACTTTGATATGTCGGGGGAATTCCATGTCACCCCAAAGACTTTCAGAAAAACCATTTCAACATCATTGATGCATTCCAGTAGGAGTCCTGGTGGTGTAGGGGCTGCGCCATGGGTTGGTAACCACAACGTTATGCAGTTCGAAACCACCACCTACTCTTCCAGAGAAATATGAGACTTTCTACTCCTTAAAGAACTTGGAAACCCACAGGGCTAGTTCTATCCTGTCCTACAGGGTCACTATGACCCTACAGGTCACTAAGCAGAATTGACTCCAGGATATGGAGTTTGGTTTTTAAATTTGGATGCATTCTGATAATTGGCTTAATTGATAAAAGAGGAAATGAACAAATAAAATAATTTGGTCCGCTTATTGAAGGCAGGACTAGTTACAGAGACTTGAAGTCCAGAAAGAACTTTGTGGTACAAAGGTGGCTTTGGAGGGCTGAGGTTCTAAGGGACACAAGCTTATTCGTTCAGTCTTCAAACACTTCTTGCGCACATATGCATGCCTACTTATTGCCCTGGGCCCGGTGTGTGTGACAGGCAGCCCATTCAACTAGCCTTTGACCAGACCCATAGTGCAGTTTGCACAGGTACAGTAAGGCCGGGAAAGAGACGCTCCAAGCTCAGCTCCCAGGTCAATGCCGGCTCTTGGAAGGTTGATGAGCATAGATTGATACTGCTCTTCCCCGCCTGTCCCTTCAGATTGCAGCTTTTTGTACAATATTGTTTTGTGAATCTGTGGCTGCCATCTACTTCTTCATGGATCCTTCTCAGTGGCAGCCTGTGGCAGCTCACACTCTGTTCCCATAGAGTTGCTCTCTCCATACGATGAGTGTCTGGACCTTCACACAGTTTCATCCCGCTCCTCCAGTGCTACAGAATATGGGCTGTGGTCTCTACTCCCAGGGACCCATCAGTCAACATTTGATTGGCTTCTCATTTCTTCTCTGACTTCCATTCTAAAGCCCTGTGCTCTAAACAGTTGCCAAGTCCTGGAGGTTTTGATTCTATCGATAATTTAGGGACTCCGTTCGTCCACCCCCTCCATGTCTTTGTATTCTCATTTGGAGTGTCCAAGTTCAGGCTGTCCTGATGTCAGACGGTGCAGATCACTTTACTTTTACCACTTCTCTTCCCTCCTACTAAGCCCATTGTCCTCGATTCCATTCTGATTCATAGAGACCCTTTGTAGGATTTCTGAAGCTGGAGGTCTTTATGGGAGCAGATCGCATCCTCTTTTCCCGGACTGGTTTGAATCACTCCCTTGGTTGTTGGCAGTCCAAGGCTCACCTGAGATTGCCACCAGGATTCTTTGTAAAAAGCCCAAACAAACAAACAAACAAACAAACAAACAAACAAACAAACAAACAGCTAAGTTTAACTGGCATCAAGTTGATTCCAACTCAGAGATCCCACAGGGCAAGTAGAACTACCCCTTTGGGGTTTCCAAGCCTTAAATCTTTACAGGAGTAGACTAGTAAAATCTAAGCCAGTGCCGCCACATGTGTCTAATGCAACCATGATCACACAGCTATTCTGTTGTAAGACTTTGAAAGATGCCTTATAGGATAATGTAGTGTTTACAGATACTTCAACCTTGTACGAACTCTTTCTACAATGAAGCTTTGATCTATCTGTTTTATCTCCCTACTGACTTCGTTATTCTTCGGTCAGACTTCTGCTGCTGTCCAGTGACCCGGCAGAACAGAGGAGAACTGCTCTCTAGGGTTCCAAGGCCAGCATCTTTCGTGATGCGGACTGCTGCATCTTTCCCCTGTGGAGCAGCTGGCAACTTTGAACAGCTGACCTTGCGGATAGATAAGTGCTTAGCTACTGAGCCACCAGGGGTCCTATGCTGTCCACTTAGCAAGGAGATTCTTCTTTATACTTCTGTGGAAATACAGCTCCTTAAGATTTGTCTGAAATAATATGCTCTTG